TCTTCGGCATGTATTTACAAATTCGTACTTGGACAGGAGACCAGATTGTAGTTGGAGTAAGTTGGCTTTTCCTGCTCTGTCTGCACCCCTAAATCTCTGATGACAACATTTCTCGAGTTGCTAGGCGACCGGGCTGGAAGCGAACCAAGACACTCCTCTGTTTCCCATTGTAGTGTGGTTGTTAGCGAATGCTTGCATGTACAGAGCGTATATAAGGCTGGAGACTGAGATTACTTGTAAGATATCCAACATTCCTGATAACATGAGCGTCTTAGTGTATGAACTCCTGTACGTCCTTACCGTCTTGTACGTCCTTACCGTCTTGTACGTCCTTACCGTCTTGTACGTAAAGAGTAAGGGCATTGCTCAAATGCAGCATTCACGTCGGTATAAACGAAGGAGTCATTAGCCTAATAAAAGCTCTTTGGTCCCAACTGTCGGGTTTAATCAGCAAACAGGCAAATACAAAATGGCTGTCCGAGTGTCCGGTAGGAGGCAGAAGGGAGTTACTGCAGTTGTGTGTGAAAGTATATTAGTTAGCGCCTTTCTATCGCTCAACAGATGATGAAATGAAAAAAATATTACAAAAACAAATAATGCATTACAATTGCACAGGCGAGGAGGAAAAAATTAAAATAATTGTATGGACAATAAAACTTTGTAGCATAACAAGTGCTCTTGAATTTCAGTAGTTTGTTGCGTTTAAAAACATCTTTAAACTTTCAGGGGTGTTTATTTTCATAGATAATGCTTCTGGTATTGCCTGTGGTGGTGATATGAATACACCTGATGTTATTACAAGAAAGTATTGATGTCATATACTGCCTCAACAATTGATCAACAGGCTACAAAAAGACCATTTACAAAGTCATTTTGGCGAAAATAATCCAACAAAGATGGAAAATGCCATAAAATCCAACAGCAATAACTACATCATTTGCATTTTCGTCTCCCATGTCTCCTGGGGGGGGGGGGGGGGGGGGGGTGGGGGGGGGGGGGTGGGGGGGGGGGGGGGTGAGGAACATAAGATTCCTGTTGATATATTTTGTCTGGAGCTAGAAGGTTGTTAACTCTGTGTTGAAGTATATGAGGAAAGGCCTTTCTTGCTCTAACTGGATGATGAAGTTAGCAATCTCATTGTGATCAATGAATACATCCTGATAAGAAGTCACATCTGAAATATGATCGAGCTCATATTCCGGATCGGAGATTGTTTTGTTTTCATACCGAATTGTTTTCATATTCATGAGAGGAAGTGCCTGGATAAAACGGCTCTCAGCCCACTCGCCCATGATTAAAATCTCTGCCGAAAACTACTCCAATTTCCTGTTCGGCTCAAATGGCGATGTTAAATATTCAATATTTAAGTTGAATGTGAAAAGATGATGTCTTTGTTGTATGTCTGATCATTGTCCAACATGTACTATGAATACATTCATGTGCTGTCTAATATTCTTATCTATCTCTACTCTTTACCGTGGAGGTATAGCCAGCTAGGCTGGTCTTTCGATAGTTAATTTGATATGTTCAGCTGCCACATCGTATCTCGCCGGACACTGATTAACATGTATTCGTTTGTCTAGCTACCATATTACTCTTCCATTTAGAGAAAATAGTATTTTTTTCCCCTGATACATCAAAATAAAAGTTTTTCTTGAAGTAATGCAGATGAATAGTTGTCTTTTAGCTTGCTGTTTGTTTGAAATGAAATTTTTGAAGCCCTTCAGAGTTTAGAATCATGCACCTTTTTCTTTCAAACATCATAAGGCCAAGCAGAATCAAATCCTAGTTACTTGTCAAGATATTTTGAAAATAAGGAGGGCTGGGGTTCAGTGTTATTTGATGTTGGATATTTTTCTTGCTCTCACACATCCTATGAGGTAGATATCAAGAAAAACTAAAACTAAAATATAGCAAATAATTCTGTTTTTTTTTTTAATGAAAATAAAATTTCATACATCTGGTTAAAGTACAAAGCCAAAATCTTACTATTTAAATGTTTTGTTTATTTTTTTCATGAGTTTTCTCAGATTCTCCTTCTCCATGTCAAATAAAGTCATTTATTTTATAAAAGTGGAATCAGGCCGAAAAAGGAAATAAGGGACATGGGGGGGGGGGGGGGGGGGGCAAGAAACGCGGAATCAGCTTTATTTCTGCTGTATTATTTTACATATTGCTGCATTGTTCTATTATAAGAAAACAGCAACAAAGCAAAATGGAAAGGAAATATGAAATGGTATTAACTAGGCTTGTCGAGAATTGTTGATTGGAAGTTTTTGTACAGACGTCATAGGGATCGAGTTACACCTTCTCAACACTACCTCATCATCAATTCTATGTTCTTAAAGGAACAGCTAAATATTCTCATGTGATAATTCATGTATTTGAGTTTACTATTAACTTATCCTGTAAAGCTTAGGGAAGAAATTTGTGAAATTACAAGCAAAATGTTTATTTGTTATAGTGCCAAAATGCATCTTCTTGCCTTTTCTTTATATGTTCATGCAAACAGCTCCATCTTTTGTAGATGTGAGAAGTAATTAGTTTGCTTGTTTGCTCGGCAGTTTTTAAAATTTCCTTGAGACAATTCATGACTTTTGGATGGAACCCCCCCCCCCCCCTCCATGTGTCGATGTAGTAGCAATAATTAAGTTCCACATTTTGTGTGCGTAGCTGTGAAGCTGTGTGATAATTGCACTTTTATGCGGATGTTGCACAGTGATGAGTTGCATATAGCATAACTTTATAGGTATTGGGTGTCATTTTTTATGAGAAACTGATAAAGAAAATTAAAAGAATCAAAGTCAACTCACTGTGTGCAAGTTATGAAACTTGTAATCAACCCTTCTAAAGGTGTTACTGTTATAACGTTTATTGCTATACTATGCGATAAGAATCTGATGTATATATCACTCTATAGTAGTAGCATGTCCTGCTTCATACAACATTCTGTGACAGCCTCACAAACTCCAGAAAGTGGTGACATACATATATACTTGAACTTCAAGAATTGACTTTCACTAGCATACTAGGTGATCTAAAGTAGTACTCTTGCAAACATGAGATGGTGATTTAAGATCATGTTATCTGGTGTAGCCCTCTTGCAGCAGAGGTTGATACCAGAGGTGTGTCCCTATTAGCCTGAACAAGCTCGAAGCTTGAGGATTTTAAAATGATCAAGGTGTCTTTAATAAGAAAAAATAGACCAAGTTTGAAATTACCCATCTCCATTTGGAGCTTGAGGAATTAAAATGATGAAGGTGTCTTGAAAAAATAGACCAAGTTTGAAATTACCCATCTCCATTTGAAGCTTGAGGAATTAGAATGATCAAGGTGCCTTGAAAAAATAGACCAAAGTATGAAATTATCTTCATTCGGCCCAAGTTGAACAATCCATGCACACTCTCTCAAGGAGTTTGGCATAATTAAGCTACAGGAGCAGTGTAGACCAAATGCATCTTAATTCACTGGCGAATTAGCCAGCACATTGGCCTATTTGCTATTTCAGAAAGAGGCCTTTAGCTAATTTCCCAAATGTATTAAGGAAATAGGGAATAGGAAATAATAATAAAGATAATGCTGATGATGATGACGATGATGATGATGATGATGATGATGATGATGATGATGATGATGGTAATGATGATGATAATATTTATACAGTGCATTTCCGAATATGCATGTTCAAATGCACCTCACAATTATGAAATTTACAGAAAAGGTGAGTTTTCAGAAACTTTTACAGGGTATCAATTGAAATATTACTGGTTACAGACAAATCTGGGTAGTTTATTCCACAGTTCAGGAACAGCAGTTTGGTGCAAATTACCTGAGCAGGTTGTGATTGGCGAATGGGTGGTGTATGAACTTTCCTGCATAAGAACTAGCGGGTCATTTGACTTACCAGTATTTTGATAACTCAGACTAATGAAAACAAGTTTTTAGAGTAGGGTTTGCCGCAAGGTACCTTACAGATCGCTTGTAAACATGACATTTAGTGTCGCGATCTTGATTGAGGAATTTTGAGGGAGCGAGCCGTATACATCATCTCAAGAGCACGGGTCGGTTGACATGTTTCTCACAGTTCAAATAAAGATGAGCCATTCCTTTCGGAGAAAGAAACGGTCTTGGACCCCGTTCTCATTACAAGAGATCCAGGGCCCTGTATTACAAAGAGTTGATATCAATCACGACTATGTTCTTAAAAAATAGGAGGTTGCAAATTTGGGATTGATCGGGGGACTTGCGATTGATTTGGATCAATCGCAACTCTTTGTAATACTCAATCGCAACTCTTTGTAAGACGGGGCCCTGATCTGAGGTGAAATCACCCTTACTGACTGCATGGCTCTGTTTCATAAATCTTGTTATCAATAACAAGTTAATAGAACTGTTTAATACAAGCTACTGAAACCTCTAGGGGACCTACAATATTAAATCCTATCCTAGGGACTAGGTGAATTAGGATGGGTATCTTATCCAACATACCTTGAAGATTCAATTTCCAAGACCTCAAATAATATGTGCAATTTACGTAGCGCCTTTCCACTGGATAGAAGCACTTCGAGATGCACTTTGAGATGCCATCCCGTTTAGTGGTAGAGTTACACTTTTTAAAAGGTACCAAGCAGTGACAGCCTAAGTTCAATGAATGCATATGGTGTCAGCATAGATATGTCTTCAACCTTTGTTTGAATTGTTCAATTTGTTCTACCGTTGGTGATGATTTTTGTTGAGGAGGCGGCCTTATCCAGAGTTTGGGAGCAGTAGAAAAATAAAGATGCAGCGGAAGCTTTAATTTGCTGTTAAGTGGCTCTCTCGTCTGAATTTTCACACCACTTTATGTATGAATGGTTTTTTAACTTGTATTTCTGAACACAGGGCACGACTGAATTTCTTTCTTGTTTTCCTGATCACAGGGCACAAATGAACTTCATGTCATCCAGATACCTAGGTATGAATGGATTTCCTACTTATTATTCTGATCGATGGGTATAACTGATTTTCTTTCTCGTCTTTCTTTTCGTTTTTGCAGGGTTTCGAGGAGCTCTGTCGGATGGGAGCATGGGACTTTGTCATCAATCTGAGTGGATCGGATCTCCCACTCCGTGATGTAGACGATACCGCCGCCATGCTGGCATCAGCTAGAGGTAATGGTCATGAATATTTCACCAAACTTTTTTCGGCAAGGTGGATTCAGACTTAAACTTAGGAATTGTGAGGAAAAAAGGGAAACAAACAAACAGTATTGATAGTTAACCGATTGACTATTCAAATATCTCCTTCCCATAAGCTTAGTACAGGGCTCACCCGGTTCCAGTGGTCAACAGGTTAACTTTCCAGTGTCTTTGAAGGGACTGAATTCTTTCGTCAACAACTTACTTTCAAACCAGAAACTTTCATGAAATATTGACAAGAGCCCTTTTTTCAAAGTATGGAATTTAACAGATCGTGACCGCTCATGAATTTTGAGAAAATTTCTTGTTTCAAAATAATCAAACTTAATGCTTAAATTTTAGTCAGATGTCGTACGATGCTCATTAATAGATAATTCACTTGATTTAAGAAGAAGGAGTTAGAATCTATCGCATGCCTTCTCCTCCGATTACAGACATCTGAGCAAGATTTTCAATAAGTCAAATTATTTGATATGCAATTCAGAAACTGAAAATTTTGTCATTTCCTCAATTTCTCATTTTCTCGCTTCCATAAAAGTATTCACGGAAAGTGTAACCATCGAAAGTTTCAAACACAGTTTGAAGCACTACTTCCCTCTAGAAATGGAGTAATGGGAATTGATCCAGCGGATTGCCTCGAACCAGTGTGTGATTATTGATCTCTTGATCCTGATATCTTAGATATGGATTACTCTTTTTGAGAAGGGTATCACTCCCTGATAGTTCCCATAATGCTTTTGTGTAAGCTCTCCGCCCAAAGTCATGCACATCCCCGCAAGAAAGTGCATTAATTGACTCAGAAAGGGTTTGATTTCCATTATACATGTTTTTAAGTAGCGCTGCTTTTTCGCTGTGAAGTCATATAACTCCCAGACCCTTAAAAAGTGCAATTTTCTCTCAATTTTTTGTTTTTTTGTTTTTTTGTTAATTGATTTTAAAAAGCATAAGATAAACAAAAACACAGATATAACACAATAATGAAATGTAATGATCAGATATAAGAAAATCATGAGAAAAAACACCCAGAAAAAAGGAACCCCCCCCCCTAAAAGAAAAGCAGCATGGAAATCAATTGAAATGAATGTGAGAGAAAATGAAAGATACATCCTTCCCTCAATATTGATATTATTGATAAAACAATTGCTTGTTTACAAGTTATGTCTTTACAAAATGGAAAAGAAATGAAACATAAAATAATGTCTGGTGACATACCACTTGTACGTGCTTGTCAAGGCTAACATATCCCTAACAAATTCCTAGTAGAATTTGTCCATTGTAATACATAAAGCAACTTATTGCAATGAGTTAACAAGTGATCCCCCCCCCCCCCCCCCTCTCCTCGAACAAAAAAGAAAAGGGGGAGAACTTTTATATGTTTTTCACAGTTAATATTCTCGTTTGGGGAAGGAAAAAAAATTGTCTAAAGGGAGAACTTGAAAGCCATTATGAAACGCTGAGAGTAACTCTTGAGTCTGAACGTGACCTCAGAGTGCAGTGGAAGACAGGAAGACCAAGAAGAGGAAAGCAAATATAGAGATAGGGAACGCAATGACGTCTTGAGGGTTCATTCACACAGAGTTAAAACATCGTTCATTTTCAAGCCGTTATATGTGAGCATGAGCTCAGAGTGCAACAGATGACAGAAAGACTAAAAAGTGGATCGCAAACAAAGAGATGTGGGTAGAAATTATGGTTTTAGGGTTGATTCACATTGATGTGAATCAGTCGAGAAACGTTCTTAAGTCTTTTTATCTGTAACACAACCTTAGTTCTGTAGATGCAATGCTTGAAGAATAAAAAGTGGAAAGCAAGTAAAGAATTATGGACATATATAAATACCCCTTATTAGGGTTGATTCATACAGATGTGAAATGGTTAAGAAACCCTCTTATGTCTTTGTATGTGAACACAACCTTAGTTCTGTAAATGCCATGCTTGCAGACTAAAAAGTGGAAAACAAATAAAAAAGAGATGCAGACTTTATAATGATGTCCTATGGGGCTCATTTGCACAGATGTCAAACATAATAATAAGAAGTGTTTAAAAAAAAAATGTTTCAGTAATGTTCCTTCAGGCATTAATGCAAAATACTGGCATCTAATGAGTATTCTATGGCTATGTCAGACTATATAGTACACCCCTTACAATATATGCCGTTTTTTTTTATAGGTGCGAAAGGCCTACTTGTTGTTCAAGTGATATGCTTTGAAGGGTAGCCGATGCCCTTCTTCCTTTCAGCACTCTAGCAGACGGACGCAGGTTGCATGATACTGTTAGGTGTCGTTAACCTGTTTCAGAGCATGCAAAGGGGACCCTTTCCCATCCATTTTGCCTCCCTCTCGACTCTTTCCATAGTTATTAGGCCCATTTACACATCTAAAACACCATTTTGAAAAATCATACAAATTTTTGAACTACAATTTACATTACTGGTGAAAAATTGTTGAAACTTTAGCGGGTGTTTTAAAAAAAAAAACACTCGAGAGGTGTAATTTTCGATTTTGATTTTTCGTAGCGTCTTGCAATGCAACTACCAGCGAAACACAGGAATGTGAGAAAAACCGATGATTTTTTAAATTTCAGTGTAAATGCAGCTCTTCTTTTATTCATGTTCTAACACTCACAGAGACATATGGGGCATGGAGTGATTTGTCTTCTTGTTGTGGATGCCTCTAAATAGCCTCTGCATTTTCCTTAAGTATTGATTCTATTCATGTAACTTGAAATGGGCCCCTGGAAAGAAAGAAACATTTTAAAAGGGTTGCTTTCACCAAGATTGTGAATTACAATGAAAGTAGGAAATATTGTATTGTGAAAAAGCCTTCATTCTCCTTTCTGCATATCTCGGTTTATAAAGATTTGAATTAGTGTCATCAAAATAAAAGTTATATCTGAGTACCTGATTTAACAGAAATAGAGGTAGGTGCCTTTGAACTTCTCGTCAGCTGCCCGCAAGAAGGTATTAAAAGTTATTATTGGCATTAGTGGCCTTCTTGCAGGCAGCCAACGGCTTAACTTTCTATGTTTGTGATACATATTCCAGATAAGAAGCATGTCATCATCACACTATACTCCCTTTAAGTGGCACTTAGCAACCCTATCTGACAAATAACTTAAGAACATTATAGCACATTGTCAGACCCAGTGTAATGACCAAACCATGTTGCACTTTTTCTCATGCCCACCCCCCCCCCCCTCACTCAACAAACTTACACAATGTGGTCACAATTCATTATAAATGTTTTAATTTGCTTGGGAAAGAAGGCAGCGGGGAAAGGAGAAATTATCTCCAATTTACATGCAGCTAGAGCCCTTGAAACAAGAGCTTGGAATGGATTCATTTATAGTTTCATATTGCTCCCGCTTCTGGTGGAGTGTGGAGTGTCGCTGGGGGGCTCTAATACCGTATCTAGATCAAATTTGGGGTGAGGGACCTGTTCGCACGTCTCGAAAAGTGGCTGCATATCTGTCCCTGCCTGCATGGCAATGCAGTGTACAACCCCGTTTAGTAGATTGACCTATAGATTCGAGACAACTTTGCCTTCATGGATACATTCAAAACAAACAACACTATGTTTATGGTGATACCAGTATCACAATATTGGGCAAGGGGAACAGACCAATGGGGGGAAATCGTGTCCTCATTAGTGTCTGATATCTAATAGAAAATCTTTGCTACAGACGTCGAAAAACAAACAAATTGGACACTGTCATGATGATATCGATGATCAAAACATCAGGCATTGGGAACAGACCGTAATTTCACAATATTGTACCCTCATCTTTGCTGATATGTAATTGATTCACAGACAAGTAAAAAAAAAAAGAAAAAAAAAAAGAAGAGAATTTTACTGGTACTATAATCACCAACCAAAACAATGGTCTGTGGAAAGTGCCTTTACTAATAGAATGATATCCTCATTAGTGCTGGTATTAAGAATTAGTAGCTACGTACATACAATAAAGATATTACTTTTTGTCATGATACCATAAATCGAAACAGTAGACAATGGACACTACGTATTTCTTTCTTGAGGGAGACAAAATACATAACCACTATACACAGGTAGCCGTTATAGAGAGGTGGCCACGAAGACAGGTTTGACTAGTAGAATCAAGTTCTTATTTTTGCAGATGTTTAATAGATTTATCTGCATAGCAGATGGTCAAAACAAACACTGTCACTGTCATGAATACCAGTTATGAAAACATTGGACAGTAGAAACAGAGACCCTGATGGCAGAATCTTGTCCTCATTGGTGTCACTTTCTAATACTAGTAGATTCATGTTTGTTGCAGACAAAAGCAATTAACCCAAAACTAGTATTTTCATAATCTCATGAGCATTTTCATCACAATACCAAAGATTATTTATCAAGGGCCCCCTAAAATAATTGGTCAATGGAAAATTGGTGTCTCTATCTAATACTAGTAGATTCATGTTTGTTGCGGACCAAAGCAATTAACCCCAAACTAGAATTTTCATAATCTCATGAGCATTTTCATCACAATACCAAAGATTTTTTATCACAGGCAAAAAAAAATTGGTCAACGGAAAATTGGTGTCTCTATCTAATACTAGTAGATTTATGTTTGCTACAGACCAAAACATTACAAAAACAAGTATTCTCATCTCACAAGCAATTTTATCATGTTACCAAAGATTTTTTTATCAAGGGCAAAAAAAGGAAAAAATTGGTGTCTCTATCTAATACTGGTACGTTCATGTTTGCTAGAGACCAAAGCAATAAACAAAAACAAATATTTTCATCTCATATTGAAGCATTCTCATCACGATACCAAAGATTATAACTCATCACATGCAAAACAAAATCGGTAAATGGAAAATTTGTGTCTCGACCTAATACTAGTAGATTCAAGTTTGCTGCAGACCAAAACAATTCAAAAACAAGTATTTTCATCATCGTACAAGCGTTCTCATCATGAAACCAAAGAATATTTATCTCAGGCAA